TTGCAGCATAGTGAACGAAGAATCACAGCAAACCAAGGTGAGTGGCAGTGGGGTGGGACTGGTGAGTGGGCTGAATGGCCTATCTCTGGATCCCTTCCCCCAGCCCACAGGCTCCGGGGAACTGGAGCCATGTTGCAATTGGAGACCAGGGGGGTGGTGGTGGGGCAGGACTGGGGACTGGTGAGCGGGCAGAAGATATCCCTGATTGCAGGCTAGGCCTAAGGACCATACCCTTGTGCAATTTCATGCACTGGACCTCTAGTTTAATAATATGCTTCCTTTTTGGGAAATGGGTTATCTTTAAAAAATATATGATAAAAAATCTTTGCTAATTTTACATTGGTATTATTTTAATTTTAATAGTATAAGTAAATTGTATCTTTTATATGCTTATTGGTCACTTATTTTCTTCTATACATTTTCTACTTAAGTCCTTGTTAATATTTAATTATATTTATGTTAATTTCTAAGATCTTTTAGTATTTTAAGTATAGTTCTTTGTCTTTGTGATATTCTCACATACTTATTTTTCATGTTTTTTATTGTATTTTAATTTTATTTCTTTTTAATTCACAGAGTTAGAATTTTATGTCTTCTACTGGAGGCCTAGTGCAGGAAATATGTGCATTGTCCCTTGGCCTGGCCAGCAATTGAAATGTGAGTGTCTGGTGTGGAAGGGCAGGTCCCAGCTGACCTCTGGGCAACACCTGGGCCTCCATGCTCCCATGAGCCCCCCTCCGTCTTAGTCACGGCGCCCAAGTCCCCATGTGGAGATGCGTGAGCGTGGCCAGACACTGTGGGCTGGGGCACAGCATGGGCTTCTGGGCTGCCAATCGGCGCTGCACAGAAGCCGGACAGGCAGTGCCCTCTTTCCTGGCCGGCCTCGCAGATCAGCTCCTGCATGAACCCACGGGGAGCCTGACCGGCCCCTGTGGTCCCAGTGGCTACAGCCTGGCTCATCTGGAAGAGGCTGTGCAAGCCCTGGCGTCCCAGGGGAGGGTAACAGGGGGAGTTAGAGCAAGCTTGACAGACACTCCGTATTCTCATCTCACCTCCATCCCTGTCACCCCTGCCCCCACCCACTCCCAGTTCCCAGTCCCAGCAGGGAGTCTAGCCCGATCAGGCAATCAGGGCCTGTGGCTGCTGGCCACTGCCTGCGAGGTGATCAGCAGGGTGATCGGGCCCCTGCTTGCACTTGCCTTGGCCTGGCCCGCCCACTCACCTGCTCCAACATCCCGCCCTGGTCCTGTTGTTGTTGAGGCCCATTGGGGCCGGCAGCACCTCCATTGCTGCCCACTGCCAGTGCCACGTTGCTAACGACCAAGTTCTGTGTTTCCCCCTGGTTGTCAGTGCGTCATAGCAAGTGGTCAAACTCCAGGTAGAACTCTCAGTTGAGGGGACAATTTGCATATGGGGATTTCATTATATAAGATCTTCACTCTTACACTGAAATTGCTCTTACTAAAATTACCAATGACTTAGTAGTTGTTATCGATATATTCAATGGGAATTTTTCAGACTTCATCTTCTTTGATCTACTTAGTTAAGAACAAAGCCATGTAAGTCACAATTTAGTTATTTGGTTTATGTTGATTTGAAACATCTCTGCTATCTATAAAATAATAGTTTTTAAAGTTATTAAAATTATAAACAAAATTACATGCCACTCAATAAATTTGCTTTTGGTAAAATTAAATGTAAATCATTTGGAGAGGCAAATCCTTTTGGTTTTACGATTATAGAAATAAGCCAAATATTATGTGAAACTAAATGCCAGACCTGAGTCAAGATAAAAAAAAAAATTAGCACTAGAGATTGATAAAGAGTCTGAAGTACAGCATGACAGGTAGGATTAAAAAATATGAAGCTCTGAAAAAAGTTGTATTAGTTTCTTAGGGTTTTCATAAGAAAGTACCACAAACTGGGTTGAAACAACAGACATTTATTCTCTCACAGCTGTAGAGGCTCAAATGAAGGTGGTGGCAGGACCATAATCCCTCTGAAGCCTCTTTGCTTCATTGCTTCCTCCAGCTTCTGGTATCTCTGGGTGTTCTTTGTTTTATTGAAGCATAACTCCAATCTCTGTCCCCATCTCTACATGGCCATCTTCCCTCTGTGTCTTTTTGTGGTCAAATATTCCTCTTTTTATAATGGTACCATCTTAACTTGATTACATTCAGAAAGACTCTTTCCAAATAAAGTCACATTAGCAGGCACTGGAGATTAGGAGTTATCTTTTTGGGATACCCAATTCAACCCATACAAGATGTGAACCAAACGAAGTGGAGAGAGTTGAATTTTGAGAGGCTACCAGAAAAGGGATAAAGCACCAAACCCTAAATTGACAAGATAGATTAATGATTAGTTGGTTAGGTAGATCATCAGGGCAAAAGGAACATTTGTGAATATTAAAAGATATCATGAGAACCTGCTATATGAAATCCTTTATAATTCTATTTGAAATCTCAAGTAAATTTTAATAGATTATTTAGGTGTGCTAATTTTCTTTTATGAATAAGCTAGTGCAAAAGGCAGCTTACTATAATAATTTGTAGTATAATTAAGAAAGATCAAGTTTTTCATTATTTCCTGGATGAAAAAAATAAATATTAAAGAATAGAAAATTGCTAATTTAATTGAACTGAATTAGAAATTCAGTGTATGTCTATGGAAAATTTGACAAAATTTTATTTAAGTTGTGACAGCAAAATTAGTCTTATACATGCAGTTATATTAACTCAATTATTATAATCCCTATTTGACACTTATTTCTTGTTATAAATGAACCCAAAATAGACATTGCAGATACTAAGTAAAATGTCAGAAACTTGAGTATGAAATATACATGCAATATTTTACAGACGCAATTACAAGGAACATTAGACACAAAGAGGATGATAAATAACCTAGTTTTCAAACTGTATGAGATATGATTAAAACCTATGTTAATTCAATTGTAAATGACTATTTGAAAGATATAACACAATGAAGTAGAATAGACAAAAATTAGAGCAGAAGAAGTTGAGATAAAAGACAGTCAGGTGGAAGGCAATGAGGAGATAAGGACTCATATGTAATACCTTAATCAATAAAGAAAGGGGGGGAAACTAGCAATCAGAATTTTTGAAAATAATGGTTCCTTCAATCTAATAATTTTCCTTCAATGATAGTGAACAAATATTCACTGATCCCTTCCAAGAGACAGAGGGTATTTTAGGGGTTGGGTCAAAAAATGTGGAAAGTCCTAGTTCATGGCTAAGATGACCTGGCTACAATTATGACTAATGTGTATCAAATAAAGGGACTTATTCAATGATACTTTTATATTTCCTCGAGGCAATGCAGCATTAACATTTTTAAAATCCTCAGCTTAGAATATGTTTATGTTTATTGATTGTTTTGGGGAAGGGGGGAGAGAGAGAGAGAAAATATCAATGTAAGAGAGGAACACTGATTGGTTGCCACCCAAATGTCCCTGACTGGGGATCGAATCCATACCTCGATATGTGCCTTCACCAGAAATTAAACCTTTCATCATTTTAGTGTACAGTAAAATGCTCCAACCAACTGAGCCACCATTTAAAAAATATTTTCAAATTAATGAAGTCATAATGATTGTTTAAATATGCTTATTACCTTTTTTCTTTTGATTATACTATATTTTTAAAATCTATTTTCTCCTCTTGAACTTTCTTCAGACTAAAGAAATATGGTTTTGCACATCTTTTGACCAATGTCAATCTTTCTAGTAAAATGTTTGTCACATATAAATTTTCATTGATATTCCAAATAGAATATAGTGCCATTTACAGTTTGCTAAATGGGGTTTCTGTTTTTCAAAGCTTCAACTTAATTTTTTTTAAGTTTCATTGGGAAATTCATTTCTATATGGTTATTAAGCAGAATATGTAATGATTACATTAAAATACATTATTTTTTCACTTGACATATCTTTAGACTCAACATTATTTATTTGGTAAACTTTGAATGAAACTATTTTATGAAATAATTGAAAACAAAAATATCTAGCATGGCATACCATCTATATCATCTATATCTACATATCATCTATATATCTATATCTATATCTATATCTATATCTATATCTATATCTATATCTATATCTATATCTATATCTATATCTATATCTATATCTATATCTATATCTATATCTATATCTATATCTATCTATATCTATATAACAATGGAGTAGAAAGAATATATATATATATATTTATATATATTTTTTTCCTACTGTGAAAGACATAAGAAAGGTGTTTACAAGGACATGGTCCTCAGAACTCAAGTTTTTCAAACAATATTAGCTTTCAAATTACAAAATCATACATTGATTTTGTCAAATATCTATTACAAGTTGTTTTCTCCAACAATTGAAAATAGCCTACAGAGTTGTGAATTCTGCAATTTAACTGTCTTTGATAGTAGGATGAAAAGAACATTATTAAAAGTTCAAAAGTATCAACTTTAGTTATTAGCCAGCAGCATTACTGGAGTTTACTTATGTTCCCATGATGAACAGATTCTTTTTCAACTTGATGTTTCAAAAGTAGATCTCTCACTTGCAGCCATTTCCCAGGAGTGTTTACCAAGTTAAAAAGTGCTGGGAGTACCATAGATGGAACATTGTAGTGAGAATTGCCTATGATGTCATAGACACTTGAGAGAAACTTCTGGAAGTGAAATGTAGTCACAGTAGAGACTAAATAAGAAAGATGCTTACTAAGTAAGGTGGGGTCCAACAAAGTGTAATGCAGAATTCAGTAATTTATAAATTACTTTTTCTTTCTGAAAGAGCTCAACTGAACAACACTTAATGAAGGAAAGTAATGGCTTAACTTAACCATTTGGTACATTGTGATTCCTGCTGTTAGTAAATTTGAAATTCAGCAGTTTTGAATATGGAAGGAAGTGATAAACCTGATCAGCCTATCTCAGCAGGGAGGCAAGAAATTCGAAAGAAAAGAAAACCTAGTCAACCAATGGTAGACAAATCCCAACAGACTGAAGTGTCAGAGATAAAGAAGTACTTGCCTACACCACAATCAGGTGGCCCCAAAGCTAACCTTAATATTAGTAATATTCCTGAAAGCAAAGTCAACTATGAGTCTCTTAGATTATCTTCTCAGCTTCAGCAAACTTGGACAAAGAGAAAGCGTGTGCAAGATAAGGCTGATAAATCCATGCAGACAGACTTTACTACTGAAGAGAAAAAGAAAACCAAGCCAGGTGATGCAACAGTGGTACCTAAAGAAAAGCCAGCTGCTGTTGTTGAAGCAGCTTCTGAATTTCCAGAGAGTGTTCATGAAGTAGAACTTCCACCAAGCAAACACTCAGGTCAACTAAAATTAGAAAGATCTGAGCAAACCAGTCATACTGGAGACACAGACAAAGAACAGAAGAGCTCAGGTGAATCAAAAATAGTTGGCAGGCCAAGTGGTTCTTTTTCAAAGTCAAAGGATGTGGTGCAGAAACGTAAATCTTCAGAGAAGATTTTGATTACTGAGCATCTTGCATTTCAACCTGAAACAAGTAGCAATGAGGAAACTAGGAAGAAAAGTATCACTAGATCTTCATTTAGTCAACAAATAAAAGAAGATAGGCCAGTACGTTTAGATGAGCATGACTTTGCAGTTGAAGTACAGCCTCCCATGGTAGAAAAGATCTCTGCCAAAGTACAATCTCCACCAACTGAGAAGACTACTGCAGAAGAGAGCCCTGGTGAATTTAAACCTCCACCAGCTGAGGAGGCTTCTGCAGAAGAGGCCCCTGCTAAGGTAGAGCCTATCCCTGTTGAAAAGTCTATTTCAGAAGAACCTCCCTCTGAAGTCCAGCCTTCAATAGTTGAAGAGGCCCCAGGTGAAATTGAGCCTTCCCCAGTTGAAGAAGCTCCAACAGAGGAGGCCCCTGTTGAAATTCAGTCTTCACCAGCTGAGGAAATCACTGTAGAAGTCCCTGCTAAACTAGTATCTAGTCCTGCTGAAGAGGTTCTTTTAGAAGAGCCTTCTGCTGATTTTAAGCCTCCATTAACTAAAGAGTTTTCTATACAGGAGGCCACAGGATTTCAATCTCCACCACCTGTAAAGGCCCCTGCCGAAAAGGTTCCAGCTGAACTTCAGCTTCCATCAGGTGAGGAGGCTCCTACAGAGCAGACCACTGCAGGAGAGGCTCCTGTCAAAGCTGAGTCTCCACCAGCTGAGGAAGCCTCTGCAGAAAAGGCCCCAGTTGAAGTTCAAGCTCCACCAGTTGAGGAGGCCCCTGCAGAAGAGGCCCCAGTGAAAGTTCAGTCTCCACCAGCAGAGAAGGCCCCTGGAGAAGAGGCTACACCTGAACTTCAAGCTCCACCAGCTGAGGAGCCTCCTGCAGAAGAGGCTACCCCTGAACTTCAAGCTCCGCCAGCTGAGGAGGCCCCTGCAGAAGAGGCCCCAGTGAAAGTTCAGTCTCCACCAGCAGAGAAGGCCCTGGAAGAAGAGGCTACACCTGAACTTCAAGCTCCGCCAGCTAAGGAGCCTCCTGCAGAAGAGGCTACACCTGAACTTCAAGCTCCGCCAGCTGAGGCGGCCCCTGGAGAAGAGGCTACACCTGAACTTCAAGCTCCACCAGCTGAGGAGGCACCTGCAGAAGAGGCTACACCTGAACTTCAAGCTCCGCCAGCTGAGGAGGCACCTGCAGAAGAGGCTACACCTGAACTTCAAGCTCCGCCAGCTGAGGCGGCCCCTGCAGAAGAGGCCCCAGTGAAAGTTCAGTCTCCACCGGCAGAGAAGGCCCTGGAAGAAGAGGCTACACCTGAACTTCAAGCTCCACCAGATGAGGAGGGCCCTGGAGAAGAGGCTACACCTGAACTTCAAGCTCCACCAGCTGAGGAGGGCCCTGGAGAAGAGGCTACACCTGAACTTCAAGCTCTGCCAGCTGATGAGGCACCTGTAGAAGAGGCTACACCTGAACTTCAAGCTCCGCCAGCTGAGGAGGCCCCTGGAGAAGAGGCTACACCTGAACTTCAAGCTCCACCAGCTGAGGAGGGCCCTGGAGAAGAGGCTACACCTGAACTTCAAGCTCCACCAGCTGAGGAGGGCCCTGGAGAAGAGGCTACACCTGAACTTCAAGCTCTGCCAGCTGAGGAGGCACCTGTAGAAGAGGCTACACCTGAACTTCAAGCTCTGCCAGCTGAGGAGGCACCTGTAGAAGAGGCCCCAGTTGAAGTTAAAGCTCCAGCAGCTGAGGAGGTCCTGGAAGAAGAGGCTACACCTGAACTTCAAGCTCCGCCAGCTGAGGCGGCCCCTGCAGAAGAGGCCCCAGTGAAAGTTCAGTCTCCACCGGCAGAGAAGGCCCTGGAAGAAGAGGCTACATCTGAACTTCAAGCTCCGCCAGCTGAGGAGCCTCCTGCAGAAGAGGCTACACCTGAACTTCAAGCTCTGCCAGCTGAGGATGCACCTGTAGAAGAGGCTCTAGGTGAAGTTCAAGCTCCGCCAGCTGAGGAGGCCCCTGCAGAAGGGGCCCCAGGTGAAGTTCAAGCTCCACCACCTGATGAGGCCTCTGTAGAAGAGGTCTCTGTTGAACTTCATTTTCCACCACCTGATGAGGCCTCTGTAGAAGAGGTCTCTGTTGAACTTCATTTTCCACCAACTGAAGAAACGACTTCAGAAATTGTCACTGCTGACAAAAAACGTGCATCATCTGAAGAGATCATTATTACACAGAGCTCTACAAAACTCTCTGATGATGAAGTTCAGCCTCCAACATCTAAAAAACCTTCTGCAGATGAGGCTCTGGTAGAGAATGTGTCTACTGAATATCAACCTTCCAAGACAATAGATGTTCCAGAATCTGTGATTGTAAAAGAGAATCCAAATTATGAAGGGTCTTTACCAGTGGATACTATTCTTGAATAGGTTTCTACTATTGAAATAGAGCATCCACCATCTAGAACTAAAGGAGGGGCCTCTTCCACTCTTGACTAAGCTAGCTATCAGAGGCTAGGGGGTTCTGGAACTACATACTTTACAACAGGGTAGTCATTTGGAAATAGGTTTGTGAACAGGAAAAGAAAAGAAAACCCCAAGATATGGCTTGCAGGTTGGAAAATGAATAATAAAAATGAGTGGTTTAAAATTACTTGCTATTTTCATTCAATCCAGAATGTATAAAATGCACTTATTTTGAAATAAAATAAGTGTATGGTTGAAATAATTACTTAAAGTATCCTATTTAAATTAAACCCTGTTGACAAGGGTAAACTATACAGCCATATGTATTTTCTCTATATGTAACTTGTAGTGAAGAAGACATTTTCTTTTCTTCAGTTCTCTTATCTACTTTAAATTCCTTGAGTTTGAGTCACATATTTACATTTATGTGGTATTTGCTTTCTCCTTAGTATAATTCATCATATCATTTATTCTCTTTCCAGGTGATTCCTTCTGAGACAGACATTTTTATTCTGTTTCCACTCCTATCTTTTTGCATATCTTACATTTCAATGTCTGGATACAGAAATTTATTTATTTGGAAAAATCTTCATTTCAATCAAGATAGATGAAGTGTTTAAAAAGTAGTATTAAGCATTAAGAAAAATATACTTAGATTACCTTGAGGCCAAATTCTTATTTAGTTTTATCATCATTTTAGGTTACAATGTGATGGGGCCTTTAGAAACTAGCCTCATATTTTTTTGCACTCTGATCTTGTGGTAGAGAGAAACTTAGGATAAAATTGAATTACTATAGTATAAGCTATTCACATTTTAAAAGAGTAACTATGAATTATCTTGTCTATTACTAAATGGCATCTTCATTTTCTATAATTACGATGACTTTTCAGAGAAAATTTTGTCTAGCTACAATGTTCTAGTTACACTGTTCTGAAATGATGAAATGATTCTCATAAATATTTCAATTTGGTAAGTGTATTTTTTTTTTGTTTAGTGACAACTCTAGATTGATGATTTGATGAATACAAACCTTGTTAAGCTTTGATGCCTTATAATTATTAACTTTTTCTCACATTCTTCATTACATCTATAACCAAGAGCTTGTGATACTTTAAAGTAAAATTTTCAGAATTTTACAAAAAATTTGTAAGCACGATTGTCCCTTGGTATACATGGGGGATTGGTACCAGCACCCTCCAAAAATAAAATATGAGAATTGCCAAGTCTTTTATGTAGAATGATATAGTAAAAAGTATATAGCTGATTGAAAATACTTTTTTAAAATCATGGTTAGTTAAATTTGTAGATGCAAAACCAACAGATACAGAGGATTGAATACATGTACTTAAAAAAAAATTGACCAGATTTGAGATTGGGAAATGTTATTCTAGACTTGAATGAGGGTTGTTTTTCTGATATTTCAAGTTCTTTTTATTTTATATTTTTTGAGATATTTTAAATCCAGTTAAACTTATTTTTCTAAATTTTGAAAATTATTTTAAAATATTTTTAGATATTCTATTATGGCTTATTTTTCTGTTTTGGATTTGATATTTTTACCTTCCAGCTTTATTGAGATACTAATGGCCTTGTGCACAAAAATTCATGCACTGGGGGTGTCCCTCAGCCCAGCCTGCCCCCTCTCACAGTCTGGGAGCCCTCATGGGATGTCCTACCTGAGTGGGGAGCAGGCATAAGCTGCAGTCTGGCCTCCTTCTGCAGGAGACAACCAGCCGATCAGGTATATAGATACTTTCTGAAGGCAGCTCGGACTCCTTCCTCATTCCTTTCCTCTCTGGTTGGAGAATAGGGGACTAACAGGTGGAGCCAGAACTGTGCCTGGGCCTGGGGCTTTTGTAGACAGCGGAAAGAGAGAGAGAGGGCTGGGGAAAGTCTAGACACGGTTTCCTTCAATTGTCCTCCCTTCCTCTGGGCCTCTCCCTCCATTTTTTCCTTGTTGTGGTGGATTCTTGGGCCTTGGACCCACAGGAGCCCAGCGATGGTGGGATCCCCCTTACTTCTCAGTTGAATGTACAGCCACCTCGCATTCCAAGAGGGGCTGTTTACAAGTGGCTAAAGCCCTGGGAATCCACAGCTCCCGGCCTTTCCCCTCTCAGTTTCCTCTTTGGGTCCTTTGCAAACTTCACCAAGACATGGAAGCAGCTCTGCCCTGGTAGTTCTGCACCGGCCCCCACCTGGGCCCCACCGGGCACTCTTCCTCGAGGTCTCCGGGTCCACAGTCTGTGCTCGGGAAGGTCGCCCAGAGCCCGTTTCTCCGGGGCAGCGGGGCTAGTTTGAAGAGCTGGAGGAAGATGGCAGAGTAAGAGTTGGTATGAACCAGTGCCTGTTCAGCCAGACTTCCTAAACTCCTCACTGGGCCCTGACCGGGCCCCTTCCCCAAGCCAAGAGTATTCCAGCTGAGGTCCCCTCCCTGAACCCAGCTCCCTCCTCCCTGTTCCACCGCCAGGGGGGCAGGAGCAGCTGGCCTGCTCTGGACCCTGCCAGCCTGGCAGGCAGCAGCTCAGGGGGTGCAGCCTAGGGCACCGGTGGCTGTGAACCTCCTCACCCTCCCTAAAGCAGCTCGTGGTCGGTCCCAATTGCTGTGCATGGAGACACTGCTTGCCACTGTCCGGCCCAGGACCTGTGGGGGCTGAGGAGGCCTCAGGGTCCCACTGGTCCCACCGAAGCCAGACTCCGCTTGGCCGGCCATCCCCACCACCGAGGGCTGCGTGTGCCCTGTGGGCCTCGTCACCCTCATGAATCGCCATCCCAGCCATCCCATCCCAGGAAGTGCTCATCCTGATTAGCATGGCTCACGCCCCAGTGCAGTCAGGCCTGCCCAGCAAGCTCGTAGGCAGGAGCTGGGCTGCCGAGGAGAGGGAGGAGGAATGTGCAGGCCGGAGCAGAAGCAGAGAACTTGGCAGTGAAAACACAGCCCCTCCATGCTGTGCTGTCCTCGTGCTACATTCCTCCACCCGCGGGTGCTCCTGCCCAGCACCATGCTTGCTCTGGGCCTGGGGTGGGGGCGAGGGACCTGGGGTTGTGGCCTGGAGACGACCCTCGCTGGGTTGGAGTCACAGTGGTTGGCCAGGGAGTAGGGTGCCATGAGACAGCCTCATGCAAGTCCCTGCTACAAGTCCCCACCTCTCTCTCTTTCTGAGAGGTCAGCAGTTCAGTCCACTCAGCATGCTGAACATGCAGCCTGGCATTCGGTTGAGCCTTCGGTCATTTTGGATGTTATGGACATTGGCTCTTTATATATATAGACAATTGACTTATTGTGTAAATTTAAGATGTACAATGTGATGATTTGCTATATGTAACATTGTAAAATACTTGCTTCATTGAGGTTAATATATCCACCACCTCACATAATTAAATTTTTTGAAGTGGTGACATAATTTAAGATCTAATCCTACCTAATAAAAGAGTAATATGCAAATTAACCATTGCTCTTCTACATCCATAAGCCATGTCCACAAGCCACGCCTACCAGCCAATCAGGAGCAAATATGCAAATAAACTCAACCAAGATGGCTATAGCCACAAAGAGCAGGAGGGAGGCTTGGGTTTCCCAAGCAATGGAGGAAGCCAAGCTTTCCACCTGCCCTTGCTGGCCTAGGCCTCCACACAAGGCTACAAAGTTTCAATTATAAAAGGTAAACAAATCCAAACAGAAATGGCAGCAGCCATGAAGCTGGAAAGAGCGGGAGGCTAGGGTTGCCCCTGGCAATGGAGGAAGCCAAGCTTTCCACACACCCTAGCTGGGCCAGGCCTCTGCTTAAAGCCACAAAGTTTCAATGATAGAAGATACACACACCCCAACAGAAATGGTTGCTGCTCAGAGCAAGCAGAAGGCTTGGCTTTGATCTAGGCTACAAAGTTTCAATTGTAGATGATAAATAAACCCCAGATACCAGGGCTTCTGCTTGGGTAGCCAGGTGGTGTGGCCAGCCTGCAAATCACCACAGGTTCCTCAACCAGGCTGCCCAATGCCCAAAGGGAACCCCCACCCTGATTCAGGACATCCTTAATGGCAAACCAGCTGGCCCCCACCCGAGCACCAGGCCTTTATCCTATCTAATAAAAAATAATATGCAGATTGACCATAAATCCAACACTCAAGATGGCTGCCCCCTTGTGGTCAAAGATCCTGTCCCCATGTGGACACAAGATGGCCACCACAAGATAGCCAGCAGGGAAGGGTAGTTGGGAGGGACCAGGCCAGCAGAGGGGGGAAGTTAGGGATGACAGGGCATGCAAGAAAGGACAGATGGGGTGAGCCAGGCCTGCAGTAGAGAGCAGTTGGGGGTGACCAGGCCTGCAGGGATGGCAGTTAGGGGCAAACAGGCTGGCAGGGGAGCAATTAGGCATCAATCAGGCTGGCAGGGGAGTAGTTAGGAGGTGATCAGACTGGCAGGCAGAAGTGATTAGGGGCAAACAGGAAGGCAGGCAGACTAGCAGTTGGGAATCAGCTGTCTTGGATTGTGAGAGGGATGTTCCAGATTGAAGAGGGTGCAGG